TGCAGCCTGAAAAACACAGGGGATGCTCAGGCTTACCTTGCATATTAGTGACAAAGACTTAAAAAGAACCTTTGTTTTGACCAGTGATGGTATAAATAAGGCATTCTCTTATTCTGCAGAATGATTTACTGAGGGTAAACAGACATTTCTTCTCGTGGCACTAATAAAAATAAGCCTGCAGAAAGGACATACAGCATTTTCCCCTGCTGGTAAGCTAGATTTTATTCTGGCTTTTCTTTTCTTGGCAGAATTGTTGCATATGTTCTACCAAATATTTGTTTTGGTACACTAGGAAAAATCTTACTTGAAATCTGGACACGTAACTATCATCTGAGTAAGGGAAAATGCCTGTATTTCTGTTTTCTTACACAAAGAGAGCATGCTGTTAGAGGTGAGTGACGTTCCTGCTGCTAGCTCGTGCGTGTAGAACTCTCACAGCACACACTGCTCAGCAGCAATTACAGCCCCACAGAAACTCTCATGGACGTGCTTTTCCTCAGGAAATGAGCAGAGCCACAGTAGCGTCCAAACATACGCAGTTTTACTTTTAACTACACAACATGCTATTAATTAGCTAATTCCTTGCACCACACTTGATTTTGAAACTGCAGCTTTCTCTGTACCCTGCAACACCTACAGCCTGCACACAAGCCCAGGGAATGTCCTGGTCCAGAGGCACCTCAGCTGCACGCACAACTGACAGTTGGGATAACTGAAACAGGCAAAGGGCAAAAGGGGAAAAGACAGATGAGTATCTTGTCCAAGGCTGCAGAGCTGGCTCCTCACTTGGCTGCAATTAAAGGGGAGGCCCCAACTCCTGCTGCTGCAGGACTCAGCAGAAAACATGGCCATACCCTGGCTCCAGCCCCTCCAGCTGTGCTGGTGTCACTCCACAGAAGTGATGAGTCTTTATCGATAACAGCAGGTTTTCATAGAGTCGTAGAATCGTTAAGGTTGGAAAAGACCACTAAAATCATCTAGTCCAAATATAAACCTATTCACTATGCCCACTAACCATGTCCCTCAGTGTTACAAGTTTCTTGAACACCTCCACGGACGGTGGCACACCTCCCCGGGCAGTCTGTGCCTATGCAACACCACTCCTTCCAAGATGAAATTCTTCCTAATATCCAACCTGAACCTCCCATGGCACAACTTGAGGCCATTATCTCTTATCCTATCATTACTAAGCTCATCCTATCATTGAGTTACAGGCAGGAGCTCAAGGAGGCATTCATAGCCATTCTGAAATTTGGTTTTAAGAAATAAAGATGCATACTCAAAATAACTCCTCTGAAAAGATCTATGTTAGCCCACTGCCTGAGAAGGTTAATTACTTAATTTGATTATTGTCTGAAATTATTTTAAATTATTAGCATTGTAAAAATAAGCAAACAAAGTAGAACATGATAAAAGCATAATTTGATAATTCTGTAATACGGGCAGACAATTGTCTTAATGAATGTTCAACTGCTTTTTGAGCCTGAAGCTAAGAATGAAAAGATAGCAATTTGCACATCAGATATTTCTGAAAACAAAGCTGCAAAGTGTTTAACAAAACATTCTATTTGTGTGTTGTTGTTCTGCATAGTTACAATAGTTATGACATGTATTTGCCCTTCAACACAATTTACTCGCTGCTGCTGTCAGGTAACTGTGGAGAGTTATTGCCTCAGAAATAACTTCAAAAGCTCATTAATAAAAATAGTGCAGTAATAGAGGTTTCTTTCCTTGGGAGACTCCAAAAATGCTGATGCAGCTTGGAATGCTCTCATGCCTGTATTGCTGCTGATGGTGGTAAACAACCTCAGCTTTCTCAGAAAGTCTGCACCACATCCAGGCTGTGCACCAAGGCACTTCACTCCAGATTAATGTGTTGAAGGACAGGTTGGATGGGGCCGTGGGCACCTGATCTAGTCGGTGGAGTTTGATGGAGTTTAAGGTCCATTCCAACCTAAGCCATTCTGTGAGCATATGATTCTATAAAATGACATGGTCGTTGTTTGCCATCTGAGTTTTAACAAAGAAAATTGGAGACTGTTGGATACATAGATTGTCACTTTGTGTAGACATAGCTCTGGCACCAAAGGGAAATAAGCCCACCTGGGGAAGCAATTCATGCTCATGCAATTCCCAGCACAGTCTCTCAGTTTAACTTCAAGGACTTAAAACTATATCCTGCTGCTCTACAATAAGTTTGTCGCCTACGTACCATGCTTCACCCAAATGGTTCTTTGCATTTTAAGAAGATCAAAGCGATTCCCAGGCTAGAAACCCAGATGATATTGGAGATGATAATGTGGTAAGGAAATAGAGGAGGAATAAGAGACTTGGGTGAGGAGGAGAAGGCAGGAGAAGCTGCCAATGAGTCTCAGTGTGAAATTGAATTCAGCAAGATCAATCACAGAAACCCAGTAACAAGCCTTCCACAAAGCTTCAGGCTACATGCAGAGCTCTGTGGTATTTTTAGGAAGAGAAACGTGATAAGAAAGATATTAAAACTTAGTGCTGCAGACTGAGGACCAGGAAGCAAGTAATGTCACTGGCTTAGAAGGAGGATTTTGGAGACGAATGTAGAATACATCATTCCAAAATGTGAGCAGGGTGAAGGAGGACGGACAGAGGTTATAGGTGCCCTGTAAAAGATGACCTGAGACACTGATAAAGGTCTGTCTGGAAAGAGCTATCAGTTTCAGAAAAGCATCCCACTTCTCTAGCCCTGATGACCACAGACAGCAAGTATGAGGTAAGCAGAGATGAAGTCCAAAAGGTTTTCTTTGTTTAGGCAGCGCTTCCTTTGCTTGAAGCTTCAACATATCAGTACATTTGTCTTACCATTTTGGTGATGTGTCAATGGTTATATTCTACTGCTACAGGTATCAAATGAATGCATATTCCAAAAAGTATCTGTTGGAATTCCTGGATAAACTTTTGAGATACACAGTGATATTTTGGAAGTTGTTTCCATAGTGCTAGAGAAAAATAATGGTGCAGGCTGTTTTCAAACTACATTCTGCAACAATTAAACCAGGCACAGTCATTCTTCCTGATTTAATTAGGATGTTCCTAAGAAATTACTCTAATGCAGGACTTTTTCTACCCTATACCTTCTGTAGAACATCCATGACTCTTTTACCTCAGATGATGAACTGAAGCGCAAGGAGATAACTCTGTATTTTCCCTCTGGCTTAGGAAACAGATCTCGTAAGGACTAAAGACAAAAACTGTCAGGAATACTTTCTTTCATATACTGTAACTCAGGCACAAGGAGGACTTTTTTGACATGGGCTACACAGCTATCATTTTCATAACAAGTTCATAGAATCATTAAGGTTGGAAAAGACCACTACGATCATATAGTCCAAGCATAAATCTACCTCCACCATGCCCACTAAGCCACATCTCTCAGTGCCACATCCACAGTTCTTGAACCCTCCAGGGACAGTGACTCCACCACCTCCCTAGGCAGCCTGTGCCAGTGCCTCACTACTCTTTCTGAGAAGAACTTCTTCCTAATATCCAATTTCAACCTTCCATAGCACAGCATAAGGACATTATCTCTCATCCTATTGCTAGTAATTTGCTGGAATTCCTGGTCCTATTGTAACCCATCCATGCTCAGAGCTGTGGGGGGAGGACAAACTTAAGGTGTTCTTCTTTCACAGGGAGGGCTCTTCAAAGTTTTGCCATTACAGCTGTGCTGTTGCCAGAAGCTTTTGTCTCAGATGGTTACAGATATTTTTTTTGGTTTAAAAAATAAATAAATAAATAAATGGTGAAACCAGCAAGCCACTTCACAACTTCTGGAAACAGGACCATGTTCAGAGTGGAAATGGTACTGGCTGAGTGCATTTTGGAGCATGTAAGATGATTTATTATATGGGAGGTGTGTGTATACAATAGTGAGAACTACAAATGCTGGGAGGCAAGTAGTAAGAACCTGAATTGTTATTTATTTTTTCAAAATAAGTACAAGCATTCAGTTGAAGATAATTCCTACAATATTCAGAATACTTTTGCCATTGTCGATAACATGTGAAATACTTTAAAAAAATAGAGCATGATAAAAGAGAATGTTAAAAAAAAAAAAAACAAAACAACAAAAAAACACCAACAAAGTTCCTATACCCAACGACCCAAGACTGTGCTGCCAGTTACTTACAGCTATACATGTGAACAAATATTCAGATTTCCTTAGAGGTTTTCAGTCCAAAGGAATGAATGTTAATTACTCATCCTAAAAAAAAAATTAATTATCTTTAGTAGAAGTAATTTTCACGAAGACTCTAGAACTGCAATCCTGGGAAATTGAGTCCTCCTTTAGTTTGATCTGAAAGTAATGCCTCCTATTTGTTTCCATGGAAACTATTGCACAGCTACAAAAAGCACAGCGATACTATTTGATAGGGCAAATTCTCAGCTACAAAGTACTGTTTTGCAATACAGCCACCAGCATTAGCTCTGCATTTTTGTCACTGATGAACAGGAGTCTGCATACTGTGCTCATACAAAAGTGCACCAGTGGAGGTGACCCACTGTCACTGCTAAAATGCACCACCACTCTGTGCTCGCTGTTTGGCCTCCGTCAACGTTCGGCAAGCATCGATGAACGTCAGTGGTACCACTGTTCCCCTATGAAGGAATTCAATAACGTGCTTTTGCTTGATGTACACTTCTGTGCCAAACACGACAAAGCTCTTGCAACTCAACAGTGCGGTGAGGAAAAGCCTTCCCTCTGCGGGCTGATTGATTTGACTTGGATCTGTTCTGTTACGCAAGCCCTGGTGCGCCGCTCTCTCTCATACCTCCCCCAGGATTTCAGTTGGGATCGGTACCGCACGCACTGCCGCGCCCGATCACCACACGCGCAGTGTTTACGCCTCAACCAGGGGCGGGACGGGGCGGCGCGTCACAGGGGACGGCGGGGCGGGGCTGGAGGCGCGGCCGGGCGCTGCCCCGCGGCTCAGGGGCGGCTGCCCGCAGCATGGGGCTCGCGCTCCGGCCGAGAGCCCGCGGGCGGCGCTGAACGGAGCGGCCCCGCCGCGTCCGCGGCCCCGGAGAGAAGAAGCCGGGCGCCCGCGGGCGGGCGGGCTGTCGCCGGGGCTGCGAGCGGCGGGGCTCGGGACCCGGAAGCAGAAGCGGGACCGGGAGGCGGCTGGATGGGAAGGAGCGGCGGCGGCGGGAGGCGATGGGGGAGCAGCAGAGCTCGCTGAGCGCCTCGCGGGCCGCCGCCGCCGCGCCGCCGAGCCCGGCCGGGGGCTCGCGGGAGGACGGCCCGGAGGAGAGGCCGCCGCCGCGGGAGGCGGCCGGGCCGGGAGAGGGCGGGGAGCCGCCGCCCTCCGTCGGCTCCGAGCGACGAGGGGGCGGCGGGGACGCGGCGGGGGAGGACGAAGAGGAGGCGGCCGGGCCGGAGCCGCCGGGCGCGGGGGAATCGGCGGAGGAGGGGCCGGAGGGGGGCAGCGGTCGGCGCCGCCCGGCCCGGCGGCACGTGTATTGCACCGTGTACTGCGTGGAGAACGACCGGCCGGGCCCCGGCTCCCCGCCCGGCCCCGGCAGCGCTCAGCCCCCGGCCCGGCGCGGGGTGGCGGCGGGCGGCGACCCGCTGTCAGCGGGCGGCAGCATCGAGGTGGTGGACTTGTACCTGCTGCCCGAACCCTTCTCCGGGCTGATCGGCGGCGACTTCGGGCCGCTGCTGGTGCTGAGCTGCCGAGTGTGCCTGGAGGAGAAGCCCGTCAAGCCCCTGTCCTGCTGCAAGAAGGCGGTGTGCGAGGAGTGCCTCAAGCGGTACCTCAGCTCCCAGGTACGGCCGGGCCCCGCGCCGCTCCCCGAAGGGATCGCTGATGCCGCGGTACCCCTGAGCCCCTCGGGGAGCTGCTGGTTCCGGGTCGGGGATTGCGCGGTCGTCCCGCAGCCCTTCTCCGCGGGCTGATGGCGGCCCTGCTGCTCGCCCAGTGACGTGCTGCTGCGGTGCTTGCACTGCGCGGGGCGGCGGGGCTGCTGTGCAGGGGGCTCTGTGGTTAGCCTTGAGGAATCACAATTACAGCAGCAACAACTCTGGGGAGAAAAGGGAACAACAGCTCTTGCGAACTTAGAGCGTCGCAGCCAACTTAGAGCCTGCTGCTTCATCACTGCTTTGTCGGTCAGGCTGCAGTTTCAAAGGGAAATCAGGATCCTGAAAGCTAACCGGCCTTGCTTAGTGTTGCTGGTAACCGGTTTAGCATCACAAAGCACTTCTGTATTGCTCCTACCGGTGACGTAGGTGTGCCCTAAGCCCATAGAGCCAGGGAGATGCCGGGTATGTGAGAATACCAAAACCGAGCAAAACTCTTTGCTGACGAGCCTTACATATGCATTCAGCGTGTAAGCATGGGAGACGCACTCGGCAGAGAAGTGCTGGTGAGATGTGTTTTTGCACCTGCTGGCCCTAGGAGCTGTGCTACAGTGGTGTGTGCTCTGTTGAGCTGTGTGCCTGGGAATGGCTCCGCAGCTCCAGCCCCCCCCAGGTGCTATAAATAGGTGTGGGGCTCCTCCAACCAGGCCATTTCACGGCTTGGGACTGGCACGTGCTCCTATCTGGGCACTTGCAAGCCCGTGCAGCAGTTACTCATGCTGGTAGTATTTGTTCTGGCTAATGCTATACTCACTGAGGTTTTTACAGAGTGCTTTTATCGTGTTTAGATAACAGGGAAGGGCTTAACGTGGGAACTGATGGGGTGAGTGGGATAGGGAGCTGTGTTTTTATGTGTGTTCCCTAACACTGACATTTGGGAACACCTTATAAGACTTCTTGCACAGAGCCCAGGATGCTTTGGTTTGCTATATAACTAACTGATGAACTCAAAGCCTAGAAAGTTTTCAGAATTCATTGCCAGTATGTGTTTGAGCCATCTTTATGTTTGCCACCGAGGCCACGGGTCAGGATATTGTCTCACCTTGGAGATCACAAAGCGGTGTGATAGACATCAGGCATTCTTCCTTAGCTTCTGTAACCTGTGCTTCAAGACAATGGGTTGTGGTAGCTTTTCATTATTAAAACAGGTAGTAAAATGCTTTGGGGAATGGCCAAGTAGGGTCCTCAGTCATCATCCTAAGAATGCTTCCTGATCATTGGAGGTATTCAAAGTTGGGTTGTGTGGGTGGAGCTTTGTGCAACCTGATCTAGTGAAAGATGTCCCTGCCACTGGCAGGGGGGCATTCAAATACTGAATTCAGTTGGCTAATCCTCTTCTTCAGTGAATAGAGAGGTGTTTTTGTGGCATAATTTGTCTAAAATAGTTGAAATGATCATAGATATTTTCTCCTATTTGTTTCCTTTGAGTAAGAAGGGATGTAGGATCCCACAAGGCTGGAGAAGGTGTATCAGCGTGAGATTCCCAGTACCCCAAACACTAAATAATACTAGTTAGTTGTGAGCTAAGGCAATAGAGAATCTCTTGCAGTGACATAATTGCCAGATCTGCATGATCTGGCAGCTAAAGCTATACTTAAGAACAGTTCTGCTTGATTTCAGCTCAGCAATTCAAGGATGATTGCGTGGCTTGGTGTCTGCAAGAGCTACCTGGCTTGGGAGCTGGGTGAAAACCCCATAAAGCAAGTTTAGAATCATAGAATCACAAGGTTGGAAACAACCTGCGACATCATCTAGTCCAACTGTCCTTCCATTACCATTGCGGCCACAAGCTTCTAACCCATATCTCGTAGCTCCTCATCCAGATGCCTCTTGAACACTGCTGGGGATGGCAACTCCACCACCTCCCTGGGCAGGCCATTCCAGTGCCTGGAATATGAGGATGTTCTCTGGGATGAAGCCACTGGTATTGCTGAGCACTCTGCAAAGCTTAGTCCAGAAGCTATTAAAAGGTCTACATGGCAGATAGCCATATTGATGCTCATATACATAAAAGATGAAACAGGGATACAGATGCAGATAAAGGGATATTTGCAGTACTGCTACTGATATTGAGAACAGAGATTCACAAAGCACTTCTGCGGACGCAGGGACTCTTACCCAACCTGTTATGACCCAGCAGGATTTTAGTTGAGTGATGTATTTGTTCAACAGAAAAAGGCAACAAAACATCTTCTAAAACTGTCCAGTGTGTTCTTAGCATATCTGTCTTTTTGGGAAATATAAGTGATGTTTCTTTGGGAAGAAAAGAAGTAACATTTTTTCTCCTTTGTGCTGTAGAAGGCTCATGTGACTCATCTCAGTGGAGAGGAAAAGCCTTCTCCATGCCTGCTCTGTCAGAGGAATTTGGGGAAAGATGAGTGGAAGGACAATATAGGATAAAGTCACCTTTAGTTTTCTGAGGCTTAGCACTTCATGTATTGATTTCCTTCATAAGAAGAAAACCTACCAAAAAGTTTGGAAAGAGTAAATGTAGGAAAGCTGGCTCTTTTTCAAAATTGTAACATATTTTTGGTTTGGTTACAGTCAGCTTTATGTAGGAATGTATCTGAGGGGGAGCTGAGGGAGAAGGAGAAAAATGGATGTGCATTTAGATCTTGTTTCTGTGTCAGAGAAGTAGCAAGCTGTACCCTGTGTTTGACTGGACACTGACTTCAGGTTTCTGGAGAGGGATTGGTTTGATATGTTGAATATGTGGAGCATATTGTCAGAAGTGTAACACTTGGAAGAAGATCTTTAATATATTTGTTTTCCCACTGAAGAAAGCTGGAGTCTGTATAATGATTTCATCATGATTTCTGAAATGGTGTCTAATGGAATAGCAAAAACACTGCTAATGATCTCTGCTGTATATAGCTGCATCAGAACTTCTGCCCTAGAGCACTATAAATTAAAAAAAGTCAAGCAAACTGTTAGGAGTTGTTGAGATGAGTATCCATAGAATTTTCTTCTTGTTTTACTGGTGTGGAGGGAAATGGGAGCAATGTTGCTTCAGAAGGTCCTTAGAGGTCAAATCTAGTCTCTTATCACTGGCACCTGGCTGCATAATCCCTATCAAAGATTTAACACCTGGTATAGAAGCTTAGAAGGTGAGCCTGGAGCTCCAGATCTGAAGCCTGACTGTACTACAGTAGAAGACATTATTTTTACCTCTGCCTCAATTCAGGTGTTCTTTCTCTGGGCCTTACACTCTTGGGCTTTTAAAGGTCTAAGACCTGTTTATCTATCATTCACAGAAAAGAAAGGGGAAAAAAAGACTATTCTCTTGACTCAGAGAAATTGAAGGAATAGGTACGTGCATTGAGCTATTAACAGATCATAGCTGTTGTACCTTAGGACATGGGGTACAAGTGTGGGTCCTACAGCGCCTGGTCAGGGTCTTAAGATGACCTATCTCCAGGATGGAATGCAGCCCAAAGCTATTCTCTGTTGAGCAGCAGTGTTGGAGATGGCTGTGCTCTTTCAAGACTGCGATGCTCACAGAGGCAGTTTCCTTGAGCACTCAGGAAAATGCCTAGTTAGGTGGGAGGTGAAAGGGTCAATAGAGTGCTTCTCTTTCAGGTGGGAGCTGTGTGTTTCTACACTCACACATATCGCTTATAGCCCAGGAAATATGGGAAGAACTGGATCTCACAGTGTAATATTGCATTCACATTTTCTTCACTTTGCACCTTCCTCTCCATTTAGCGTCATAACAGACCTGGTTTATTCCAGAAGCTCCATCCACACAGGTTTGCTGTAAATGAGTGATTCACTTCCTCATCTCTCTTTATTGCTTGTAAATCTGAGTCAGAGGGAATACTTGTGCCTGGTTTTGCTTTTTGTGTGTGTGTCTGGGTGGGAGGTGGTTCAGAAGTACCCTGTACAAATGAGCCAACAGCAAAAGGAAGAAATTTTACTGCAGAGGGAGAAACTTACAGTTTAACTGGGGATTTATATTTAACTTATCCTCTTTACCAGGCCAGGATAAGGTTTATGTGTTTTTCTCATCTAATTTGTAAACCTGTAAGTACTGTTCAGAATAACAATCTCACTCCTCACTTTTCAGTAAATAATGAGTAGACCAAAATAACACATTCTCTTTCCTAATTCTAAAAAAAAGATATATATTGCTTCAAGTATTTACAGAGAACGTATCCTTTCTTGTAAAGTAGCCGTAAATGTTTCATAGAAACCTTTGTGATTTGGCTGCCTGCTTTTCCACCTCTGAACTGGAGAACTAGATAATCCAGTTTTGATCCAGTGCTCATTAATGATGCTTTATTTTGTAAATCTTGTAATTCTCTTGGAGTGGTAATTTCTTACATTAAAGGACTTTGAGTTATTTAAACAACCTACTGTATTCTCAGTCAGATATTTTGGTGCTTTAATTACAGGAATGCTAATCAGATTAGAGGATGTGGATAATCAGAAGGGGTTGTTGGGGCGGGGAGGGATTGCAGCTGGCAATGCTTGGTGTCTGACTGGCTTTGGTGGGACAGGAGTCTTACTTAGCTCTTCTGAGCCTGAAATGAGAAGATTATTGTCCCTCTATCTGGAATCTGGTACCAGTTTTCCTTTGTGACTTGAGACCTTGTGTTCAACCCTTTTCTTTTTTGGTGCATGATCTTTTTGAAAGATGCAAGGGGAGAAAAAGCAGCAGAATGTTACAATCAGGATTTTTGTGGGAGGAATAAGTTTATGAAGTCATGCTAGCAGTAAGGAAAAGACAGGAGCAGGCTGTGTTGCTCTGATCTAGTGCTGGCTTGGAGAAAGAGGGACTTGACACCTGTGTAACTTTTCAGGTGTCTGATTGTATCATGCAAATGATAGCTTTCAAAGCTGTAGTCTGGCTGCTGAGGGAAACCAGGTAGCAATGTAGCCACCGGGTGCTGAATCATCTGGTTGTTAAT